GGTCAGTAAGACTTCTTACTACTAGTGGTATACTTCGGTATAGCTCTAGTAGGCGTTGCCTCTGACCTAGTCGTTATCGTTCTTGTTCACCTGAAGCACCCCTATCGTGTATCTTTGCGAGACCCCATTATATCGCGAGAAGTCGTTCGAGGAAGAGCCCTTCGCCAGGTAGGCCGTTGTCTCAAGGACAAGAGACCCGGATCAGTTAGATCGTCGCGTGCTCGTGAACGACATAGAGTCAGGAAGACTCCTTGATCCTTCCCTAACCACCATCGTTAAGTATCGACGACTACGGTTGGACCCAGCGCGTAACAGCCCTTAAGACACAGGGCCAACAAACCACTATTCAATGGGTCCCTGGGCACCATAGCATCAAGGGGAATAAGAAGGCAAACCAAGTAGCAAAAAGAGCAGCAGGCAAGCCCCTGCAGAATGAGTCTAGGGAACTTTCTATGGCCTACACCCATAGAGCCTGTACAGAGGCAATCAAGGCCTGCAAGCAGAGGTGGCTAGTAAAGGCATTAGGATGCAGGACTCAGGCAGCCCAAAGAACATATAGGGCTCAGCCTGGCTAGAAGCAAGACCCAGCAGTAGCAGCAGCCCCTAAGAAGATTGCCAGCCAATACTACCAGCTCAAAACGGGCCATGCTGCCATAGGAACCTACCTGCGAAAGATTCAGGCACAGGAAACGGAGGCATGCTAGGGATGCCAGGCCCCAAAAGAGTCTGTTTACTATCTCCTCTTTGAATGTAGGCAGTGGCGGAGGCAGCGAGAGGCCTTATATCAAGGACTCACTAAGACTGGGATTGCCAGACCAACAATGGCAGAGGAGTACCCAGAAGGAAGGCTGTTTGGGAACCCCAAAGCCTCACGAGCCCTGCTGCAGTTCCTAGCAGATACCACCATAGGTTGTCCCCGGGGGGACCAGGCACGGGCAGTGGATAGGGCTCATAGAGATGATGAATGGGGGCTGGAGGCCTTAGAGGAGGCAGAACAAGATGTGACGATTCAACTTGCCTGTCGTCACGTGAGCGGTGAGAAAGGCGGTGAGGTATAGGTACGGCAGAATACTTGCATAAATCGCCTCGCTAGCGACCTGGCTCCCTTCCTTCTTCTCCTCTCCTCCCAGCCTAGTCTCTTGTAATTTAGATCGCTCCTAGTGATAAGAAACTGCTCTATTGCCTGGAATTGGATCCGTCACACAAGAGGGGGAAGGATAATAGGGGAGGGTGGCCTGCAGCAGGCAGGTGACACCCATACAGTGATCACACCAAGGAGGGCATACATAATGCCTAAAAGCCCTGCACGGCAAGGTGGTTTGGGGCAAGGAAAAGGTCTAGAATGGTCAAAGATGAGTTTAGAGACTAGATAGGGGCTGTGGCCCATGATTCGGAGTCTGTCATAGCCAAAAGGCTCGGTATGGACGTTAAACTTGATTAATAATAATAATAATAATAAACCCCACTACACTGAGCAGGATCAGACCAGGCCTATCAGTATGGAGTGGCTGTAGCAGCTGGATCATGGTGAAGTAGTACCTTGAGTTACAAATTTAGATGCTGTAGATAAGGTTTGACTGTGCCAGGACTTGGCACTGAGAGGATCTGTAATAGATCTCATGCATTAACTAATGTTTAGGTTGCTATTAATTGGTCTGCATGCAGAGCCAGGAATACAATAATCATAACATGTACAGAGTATGAAGATTAATTAATTCTCATCTTCTTGTCTGCTACAGATTAGAATACTATTGTTAAAATTCTGTTGTCTAGAAAACTATCATCATCATCATCATTATCATTAATTTAGTTTTGACACAGCAACTGACCTTACAGAATATCCTTATTTTGGATAGCAATTCCAGTTAGTAGGTTCTTTATCTACTAATAATTATTGTCACGGCCTGGCGCCTAGGGTGCATTCTAGGAGCTAGACCGCTGCGCTAAGGGCAAAAAGACCAGGATTCTAGGACAGAGTCCTAGAATTGCACTCACTATATAAGGAGCACTGTGCCGTCACATTACCCCCCTCCTACCTAGGGGTCGTCCCTGACCCCTTAGCCATCAGGGCCTAGGTAGAGGCCTGCCGCCTTCTTGCGACTAGATAATTGCAGCCCACAGTGGTTCATCCCGCTATAGCTAGCCCCCAGGGATCATAATGGCACCCTGTCAGCTGCCAAGTCTCCTCAAGTAGCTGGCATTCTTTGACAGAACAAAGAAAGTGTCCCCGAAAAGAATGCACTTACGCTCAATCTGATTCGAACCCACGACTGTTTGTCCTAGAATCATGTCACGGCCTGGCGCCTAGGGTGCATTCTAGGAGCTAGACCACTGCGCTAAGGGCAAAAAGACCAGGATTCTAGGACAGAGTCCTAGAATTGCACTCACTATATAAGGAGCACTGTGCCGTCACAATTATAGGGCTAAGTATTAAGCTTCTAGATTGCAGTCTGTACAACAAAGTCTCTCTAATAGCAATTTCTTTAACAATAAATTTCTAGGAGAGAGTAAAGATTAAAATGTAGTTCTAGATCCTGCCTCTACTCCTTCTAAGGCTATTATTCCTTGCGCAGCCATATAACACTATATAGGCCCCTCTTATTAATCCTAATAGTTAATCTTTGCCCCTTAATAACAAGTTTAACAAGGTTATTAACTAGATGCTAAACTATTTCTGCATACTAGGCCTAGTAATTGCAGTAGTCCAGAGGAATAAGATATTTGTTAAGGTTTTCTCTTCTTATCTTAAGCAATACTATTCTTACTAATAGCTCTAGGGCTATAGCATTGCCAACCTAATAACTCTTTAACCTATTAGTAAACATATGCACTTTGTTGTCAGCAGCATGACCAAAGCCTTTATAGTGGTAGCCATTTTGCTGCTTATTAATAACAACAAGAACTTCCTGCACATCTAGTAAGAGACCCCTGTCCACTGCATTATCCCTAATGACTTTGTGCTAGCTAACAACTAGTTGACTACCCTTGTCACTATTGAGGATGCCCTCTTGCATTGCTCTGGCCTGCTGCGCCACAACTATGCCTGGCATTTCTCTAACGTCTCGCTTGTCCAGGCTATACGCAAGATGCGCCATCTGCCCCTGACAGTGCCCATCTGCACCAAGTGGCAGTACTGCAACCTGATGTACATTGCCATGGCGCATCTTGTTGAGACAGTCACTGGCCAGTATCTCGGCAACTTCCTCCGCGAGCATATCTGGTGGCCGCTGGGCATGGGCGAGACCTTCATGTCGATCCCTGAGGCCCAGGCAGCTAGCGTGCACCTGGCCCAGGGCTACGAGGTTAACCAGATAGGGGGATAGGAGAAAACGGGCTATCAGATCTGGCCCCAGGCCCAAGGCGCGGGCAATATTGTCTTATTAGCTGTGGACTATGCCAAGTGGCTTTGCGCAATGATCAACCATGCTCCCCTGATCTCTGT